TCTAAGGACTTGTGGAGCTTCAATCTGAACGGTGGAGATCGAATTCCAACGGTTCAATCTCGAGTTATGAGCTTCGGAACAGCCTGCATATTTTTGTAGATCAAGGAGAATCTTTATTTGAAGGTGTATTGGAATCTACGTCCTTGAAGAAGATCTTTGAGAAGGTGTAACAAGCCGTGGAGATAGACGCAAACCGAGTTTGTCGTCAAGTCATTCGTAAGTAGACAAATCAATACATTAGAAGGTTCTGTTGTGATTGATTGTGTAATTCTTACGGTGATTTAGTGGAAGGGCTATTACACGGACGTGGGCCTTGCAGACGTAGGAGAATTTGCTCCGAACTGCGTGAACAATTCTGGTGTCTTGCTTGCNTGTAGATCAAGGAGAATCTTTATTTGAAGGTGTATTGGAATCTACGTCCTTGAAGAAGATCTTTGAGAAGGTGTAACAAGCCGTGGAGATAGACGCAAACCGAGTTTGTCGTCAAGTCATTCGTAAGTAGACAAATCAATACATTAGAAGGTTCTGTTGTGATTGATTGTGTAATTCTTACGGTGATTTAGTGGAAGGGCTATTACACGGACGTGGGCCTTGCAGACGTAGGAGAATTTGCTCCGAACTGCGTGAACAATTCTGGTGTCTTGCTTGCTGTTTTTACTTTATATTTTACGTGTGTGCTTGTGACAGAGAAGGTGTTATAGCACTCTATCAGTCATCTATTACTGTGACAGTGCTGCAGCATATTCTCTACAACATAGTTGATTGTTTTGTTTGCATAGTTCTTAATTGGTGATTTCAGCTGCGCCCCCACGAACTTACAATAATCACATACTCCATATTATGGGTATTATAATAAAAAAATTCTGATCTTACCGGTCCGACTAGGAAAGCAATTCGGTCTTGGACCGGAATGGACCGAATTTTTACCAGTCTAGCAATCCTTAATGTTTAGACTGGAGACCGATCCAGAATTTTACAGGTATAGCCTAGAATCAATTTTTCCGTCCGATCTAACTCGGATTCTGTACCCCCTCTCTTTGGGTACATGTGAGAAGCCCTAAGTTAACACATGCGGAGTATCTCGTTAATGCATTATTCTACCATGTAGTTACTCCGTACAAAATAAACGCCTCTGTTAGTATCTCTATCACTCACAATGTATATATCTAGTTTATTTTTTGAGAAAAAAACAAAGAGTTAAATATTAAAAATATATCAAAATAGGAATTCTATATTTTTAGTCCCAAAATTGGAGTTAAAGTATATTTACATTACCAATAATGAGCATTTAGATTAAGTAAAATGCTCATGTACAATTTCACGTTACCACAGTGCGAACCCTATTTAAAGAATAAAAACGTGAAACTCGTATTTTAATATTTTATCTATATTTAGTCTTATTTATGGTAATTTTTAGTTAACTTTTTTCAATCGAATTAAACAAACTTTATTCAAGAAGTAAATAAAGATTATACTCCCTATGTCCCAAGTTTAATTATCTGTTTACTATTCAGAAAATCAAGTTTTATACTTTGTTTCCCTATTTTTATTAATAATTTAATAAATAAATATAATCATGTCACTACTAGTTTTGTAAATTTTTGATGTAATTTTTAAATATGTAATTTTTATTTTTTAATTCTAGACCATTTTTTATACTCCTAGAACATCTTTGAAATGTCAACAGGCACTTCTTTTCTGCCAGAGTTCTCTTTCCTTTTGCATTGAACACAAACTGGTAGACCATCGTGCATTTGACCACTAGCTGTAGACCATATTTTCCCTACTGTTTTTCTGAAAATTTTGAACTCTCCAGCCACTGCTTTAATGCAACCATGCTGAAGTTTGTCGTGCTTATAAGACTGTAGTAACCTATCGACTATTCTTCGTCTTCTTTCACTTTGTTTTTCTCGTGAATGTGCTGTGTTTTCCTCTGTCTCTGTAGGGGTTTCAAGGTTGAGAAAGGAGACTTGGAGCAGTATTGGGTGGGGGTGGTTCTCACTGGCAAAATCATCCCTGGATTCCGGTGAGGCTTGCTCATCAAAAGACAAAGATGAAGAAGAAAACTCCATAAAGAAGAGAAGAAACAAAAAAAGAAAGCATTGAATGCATGGAATGCATTCAATGCTTTCTATTTATAGAAGTAGTGCTATTTTTGGGGTTTGTTGTAATTGGAGGGAAATGAAAAATTTCCCAAAAATTTTTCCCTCCTGCATGGATTTAAGATTTTAAATGTAATTTGTATGGAACATTAAAAACGTTAGAACTTTCCTGAAATGCAGGTATTATTTTTGTTAATGAAAAATGACAAAATATCGTATACGCTCTCTATCCCAAATTAATCATCTTGTTTTTTTAAACAATTTTTTATGGCTCACCATCTTTCTCTCCTCTTTGTATTACTTTCAACCTCCCAATTTCACGTTTTTTATATTTTTGTAACCTAATAAAAAAATTAAGTCGACACACGAGTATTACAAAATAATGTTTTAAAAGAATTAATTTTTGTGCACGTAAATGCACCATAGAAAATAACAAGAGAACTTTAAAAATTGTACTCCCTCCGTCCCTTAGTTTTTGTTCAATTTTGACTTTTGGAACTGTTCATCTAAGCACTTTGACTCATCAAATTCTCTCAATGTGTAAGCCTAAATATAGTAATGTGTGATCTTGTTTGATTTGTCCTAACATATAGATTATTAATATATAATTTCTATAATTTTTTAATATACAAATCCCAAGATAAAATGGATTAAAAAAGTACATTGGATAATGTGTAAAAATGAAAATAGACAAATACTCTAGGACGGAGAGAGTATATAATTAAAGAAAAGGAACAAAAAAAATTGCCTATTAAAAGCATTGTGACCATTTAAAAATATTTGAGTGGTATTTTAAATATTTTATAGAGTTCAATGATAGTATTGAAAGAGAAAAATAGAGAATGGCATTTTTGACAAAACATAATACTTGAATGACACTTTTGAACATTTTAGAGAATGGCATTTTTGACAAAACATAATACTTGAATGACACTTTTGACACACAGTACTGTTCTTTGTCTGTAATATCTCTAAAGACATTGAAGTCAAAAGTAGTCTAACTTAGGGTTCCTCAAGATTTTTTTTCTATGTTAATACTTAACGGAAGTACTTTTATCGTTTCTATACAGACCATATTGATCACATTAAAGCTGCAATTTTAGCTTGATGGTCAATTACCTGTACACTGAAATTTAGGATGTGGTTGTTAATTTAAATAAAGAAATTAATTATCATCTTAATACAATGTTTTTAAGAATCAAAGTTATGCGTTTTAAGAAAACCCCAACTCCAAATTTTCTGATTTATGACACTAACAATAGCATGAAAACTCCACGCATATGGATACATAATCTTTTAAACACAACGCGGGCAAGATTTGGCTCTTTATCTTGCTTGGAAAGAGCGAAGACTTGGCAGGGGCAGCATTAGGCGGAAGTCAAGCAATTACGTCTATAGGTTTGATTGAGCCACTCGCACCTGAACCCTATGCCATGAGTTGTTCAGTACTCCCCTTAGGTTCCATATTTGAATAATCATACTATGTAATTTATATGATGGACCAACATCAATTTGTAATTTAACTTACGATACTATTTATACTATACTATATTTGGTATATAAAAACATTAATACATCTGCATCTTACACAAATTATATTTTATAAAATATAACTATTAAAAATCATATGCTTTAGATTTTCGTGTTATGTTAATTTATTGAATTCTTAGTATTTTAAATACACTTTATACTATATTACTTTGCTTGACTTTTGATGTTGAAAACATGGTCTGTGTATATATACATATATTCGAATATTCGAATATCATCCGAATCAAATATATCCCTATTTGTATTTGTATTTGATTAATATTCGAATCAAAAATAATATTTGAATTTGAATTTGTATTTGAATAACGTGAATTCGAATCATCATATTCGAA